ACACTGTGCAAAGTTAACCAAGGAACTCATTCCAACAGGAGGTAGTGGTGGCCACCAACCTGGGTGGCTTTAGAGAATTAGATGAATTCCTGGAGGACAAGGCTATCAATGGCTACCAGCCTCTGAATATCAGTTGCTGAGAATCACAGGTGGGGAGAGTGTTCTTGTGGTTTGGTCCAACTTGCAGACTTTCCACAGGCATCTGGTTGGTCACTGTGAGGATGCTGGATGCTGGAGTAGATGGACCACTGGCCTGATTCATCAGGCTCATCTAATTTTCTTAAGCATTTTAAGTATGAGATTGAAAACTTATTGAGCTAGTTCAACATCAGGCACATTTCTGATATGAAACAACTCTGAGCAAGGATGAAAACAAAATCACCCCACTTCACCAAATGACACATGGCCTATTTGACTGTGCTTCTTGGGTGTGAATGTGTTAAAACAAAAAAACCTTCAAGTCAGTAAACAAATGCCATATTCTGCATGTGCATAATGGTGCCCTAATAAATTCAGAGTCTGATAATATGAAAGAGCAGTTCCACAAACACTTTAGACATAAAAAAAATAATGAAGAGTTGCCCATAGGAAGTCAAAAGTTTTTCTTAACCTGCCCTCAATTTTACAACAAGGCCTAGCTAAACTTACTGTCAACAAAATGAGATTATAGAGCTGGTTCCCTGTTCTTCTGGGCAGGTAGGAGGAGCTATTCCTCCAAAGCAGACTTGCTTCTGCCACTTTGTGGTTCTATCAAACGAAAAATGAAGCATGGGAAAGTGGATTCAATCATCAGAACTTTCTAAAGTTAAGATCTTGATAGGAAAAGAAGGGGGCTACTATACCATATTCTGAGAGGCAGCGCTAGAAGAAGACAGCCTCTCTCCATAAGAGAAGCTTTCTTTTTATACATAATTTAAATCTGTCAATGTTTATTCACAGTTTTAATATTAAATCGTTATAAGTACAAGCAGCACTACAGGTTTATATGTGACATGCAAAAACACAACAAGAGACTTCCAAAGGAAGGATTAAATGTATTAAACTTCTAACTGAAAATAATAGACAGCATAAAAGACTACAGTGGTACCTCAGGTTAAGTACTTAATTCGTTCCGGAGGTCCGTTCTTAACCTGAAACTGTTCTTAACCTAAAGCACCACTTTAGCTAATGGGGCCTCCTGCTGCCGCAGCTACCAAAGCACGATTTCCATTCTCATCCTGAAGCAAAGTTCTTAACCTGAAGCATTATTTCTGGGTTAGCGGAGTCTGTAACCTAAAGTGTATGTAACCTGAAGTGTATGTAACCTGAGGTACCACTGTATGCAGAAATGCAATGAATTAATGTAAGTCTACCTAGAATAATGTGGTTTGGATTTTTTCTCAGAATAGAGAATTATTTTCCTGAACTCACATGTATTAGAAAAAAAACAGCAACAAACTGAATAGGGATCCTCAAGAATCTGACATGAACTCTTGAGCCATTTTCAGCTATGTTTTTCTCCTACTTATACCAGGTCAAACCATTAATCTGCCTGGCTCAGTATATAGTGACAGGTGGAAGCTCTTCAGATTTTCAGGCGGGGTTTCTGAGCCCTATCTGGAGGTGTCAAGGACTGAGCCAGGCTGGCAGGGGGGCACCTCTGGTGTGCAAAGCATTGCTTAACTACTGAGGTACAGCTCTTTTTAAAAGCCCCTTTGAAATTAATGGGAAACGTGGAGAAGAACTGTGACAATTTTAAAAACTCCTGTTTTCAGGGGTGAAAGTTAACCATTATCAAGGGGGTTGTAAAGGTTTCGTTAAGTTGGAAACTGAGGTAGCAGTCTGGATAATTCATAGTAAAAAGGTTAGTGGCTCTGTCCTTTCTCCTGGATTGTACCTAAGTAGAGAAGGCATGGATGCTTAACAATCCAAGGACTCAGCTATACAGCTGCAATTAAAATGTTTAACATGTATTGTAATGTGCAATATACAAATGTGGCATTAGATGGTGATAGTGAGCTATGCAAAATTCCATGTATTATTCAAAACGTTAAGAAAAACCATTTTCACAGCGGTTTTTTTATACGTGTGTAGATTCCACCCAAGTGGAGCCTGAGTGAAACTTTTCTGACTGAACATGATCTCAGTCAGTCAAAATTGTATCCTGTGGTCTTTCCCAGCTGACAGGATACTCCTTCAGCTCCTCCACAACCCCACCCACATCCTTAAATCTGATACAGAAGGTCCTCCATTCCTCTGCAACAGATTGTGTGGCACCAGTGAATACAACCCCATGAGTTACGGATGGGTGTCATCTTTGGTAGATCTACAAAGGTGTCAGCTTTAGACCGACATCGCTATCTTCCTAAACTGGAGAAGCTTTAAACTGGCATCATTACCTTCCCAATTACCTCTGATTTTTAAAAATGCTACGTAAATATTTTTAACAGCCTATGCCCTGAAATCCCACTACTGTCTGTAAAACAATAAACCCATGACGGAGAAAGCTCTTCATAAAAAAATGTTTTTGTAAAAAAAATATTTCTTTTTTATTAGGAATTTGCATGCCATACAGGTAGTAGAGCAATTGGTCTCATGGGCAATGTGAGGAATTAGAGTGGGGGGAAATGGAAGAACCTTTCAATTGCTAAATTGTGCTGCAGAATCAGCATGAACAGTGGATACTCGATAACGTCACCTTTTTAAATAGGCTGCCCATATATTGAGCCTAAAATATGAAGCAGCAGTAAAAAGAAAAAAGAAAAAGGTTGTGCCCACTGACTCAGAGGACAGCCTTTCACTGGCTGTGATGGATGCTATATTGCGTTCATATGAGATTTGCTTTAATTGCATTAGACTAAGTAGCACTATCTCAAGACCTGCTCTGTCAGAAAAAAAGTGCTTATACTGTGGAACAGCAACTCCTGCAACAAGCAAAGCTTTGCAAATCATGGAGTGTTAGCACTGAAAGAATATTATGTTGTGCCGACACTGCGGGCAGATTAGCTGCCACTTATGCTTAGGAGCAGACTAGAAGATCCGGAGAGCACAGTTACTCCTCATTGCTTTTGTTTCCATTTTCTCCTTATTTGTTCCTTACTTTTATCTGATAAGTTAGTAGATATAGGCACAACTCATTGGGATCCACTAGTCTGGGAAACTTGGATTTTTCACCTGGATTTTGACTAGTTTCAGAATATTTCCAGAGTCTTTAGGTGCCATTCCAGGCTGTGAAAGAAAATCTGGAACAATGCAGGTTTCCTGCACCTTGAACAAGATGGTAATTTCTTTTTCAAAAGGTAGTTTTGGGTCTACTGGTAGATCTCTGGATGGTTTGTAGTATGTTGAAAAGGGTTTCTGATGCCTACCTGTGCCACAGTGGCAGCAAAAATGTTACCCCCTCTTCAAATTTAAGATATCTGATCGGAAGTAAATCATATCTAGATTTAAACTTGAATTTTAAGACCAGTATATGGATCTAAAAGGGATGCGGGTGGTGCTGTGGGCTACAACACAGAGCCTAAGACTTGCCGATCAGAAGGTGGGCAGTTCGAATCTCCGTGACAGGGTGAGCTCCCGTTGCTCGGTCCCTGCTCCTGCCAACCTAGCAGTTCAAAAGCACGTCAAAGTGCAAGTAGATAAATAGGTACCGCTGTGGCGGGAAGGTAAACGGCGTTTCCGTGCACTGCTCTGGTTCACCAGAAGCGGCTTAGTTATGCTGGCCACATGACCCGGAAGCTGTATGCCGGCTCCCTCGGCCAATAAAGCGAGATGAGCGCCGCAACCCCAGAGTCAGTCATGACTGGACCTAGTGGTCAGGGGTCCCTTTACCTTTACTATATGGATCTTTAGTTGCAATAGATAGCTGGCTGCACTCCTCAAATCACCATTTTGCATCTGCTTCCATCACACACCACACTGGCTACTACTTTGCACCTGGCTCTGGCCGGCAGACCTCAAGTTTCAACTTAAAAACAAAACAAATCCTGCAGGTCAGAAATCCTCCCACTTTCAAAGAGGGCCTCTACACATGTGCAGTGTATGGAGTTTCTATAACTCAAATGCACCAACACTAGATGTGCCCTTTCACATTAGTCCAAGTACTAGGAACTCACTAGACATCCAGTGGCATCCCTAATAACCAAGAATTCAAAGCTGTGTTACCGGATTATTATTATTTTTTTGGGGGGGGGGTTCTAAACATCAGTGGAGTCCCTTACAGCCCTGTGATTCTTGGTTGTAAAACTGAGGGTTGGTTAGGAGAGGGTTAAGGGAAAATGCTGAGTTTCTGTTGATGGCGCTAGCAGAGTTGGTGCTTTGTTAAGGAGATACCTCTCAAGGAGAGAGAACCATACTGGAATGGGGGACTCAACTGCTCTCTCTTCCCCTGGCTCTGGTTGAGTGTGAAAGAGACTTCCCAGTCCCTGTGGAGCTGGAAACACACAGAGGCCTGATCTTCCTCTCTTTGAGAATCCAGTGCTGGGGGCATTGGGGAGTTCTCTTAGAAACAGAACTAGAATCTGGTGTTGACTGATTCTTGAGCAAAATAGTGCAGTTGCAAAGTTTAAATTGTCTTTATCCACTATGCCGATTTATGTTTTCAGATATCTATTTTGTTTTGTTATATTTATAATTGATTTTTTTCTTTTTTCCCCATAGGAGGATGGGAAGCTGCCTTATACAGGCATACCTTGGTTTTCGAACAGCTTAGTTCCCGAACATTTTGGCTCCCGAACGTCGCAAACCCGGAAGAGATTGTTCCAGATTGCAAACTATTTTTGGAAGCCGAATATCTGACGGGGCTTCTGCCTGGCTGCAGGAGCTTCCTGCAGCCAATCAGAAGCTGTGCTTTGGTTTTCAAATGTTTTGAAAGTCAAACGGACAACTGGAATGGATTCTGTTCGACTTCCAAGGTACGACTGTAATGAGTCAGAACACAGAACCATCTAACTCAATTCTGTTCATGCTGACAGGCAGCAGTTCTTCAGGTTGTCCATACTGGGGTCTCTCCCAGACGTCCCTGGAGATGTTAGGGATTGAAGCTGAGTCCTTCTACATGCAAGGCAGCTGTCCTACCGACTGAGACACATCCCTTAACATTCCGCTTTATTTTCATGCATTTAGTGGGTTTACTAGGCTGGATGGACAATAGATAGATATCAATATACTTCTGTTCACAGAGGCCTTTGGAATAAAATACAATCTCTACTATGCAGAACTTCCATTATACCCAATCCTGCTATAGTCACAAAGGCACACATCCTTTTAAAATTTCACTCCTCTCTCTGTCTCTGCTTCAATCACATCACCTGGGAAGGAGTAATGATGTTGTTAAATATGGGTTTTGCTGAATCATGCAATCAACTAAATGAGAAAAAAATTAAATCCATGCCCTTGAAGGGAAAATGAGCTCAGTAACATTTACAGTACCATTGCCTCGAGCCCTTTTCACCCTTTCTACTAACACATAGCATCTGGAGCCTATATAAATAATTGTCCCTGAGGAAAATGAATGAGCAAAGGTATTGACATTTACATGTGTCACATAAAAGGTCACATTAAAAAAAAGGTTGGAATAAAGCAGGCATTTTGCCTTACAAGTCCTTATGTTATGCCTTAACAGTCATTCATATTTTTGTGGAGACTCACTTTCCTCCCTCCTAAGAAAAAAAGAGAGGGCTGTATCCATGTATCCATCTGTATGTGGTATTTGGTGTCTGAATAAAATAAAAAGTGTCCCTGAGATTTTCAGTTTAATGATGATGATGATGATGATGATGTCCTCCTGTTGTGCAGTTCACAGCTCAGTATGCCGATAACACCAAACTCCATAACTTTTTTGTCATCCAATTCAGGTTTAAATGTGCGTGTGCTGTAATCAGTAACAGAATCTGTAACAGAATGGTTGGAGTCCAATAAACTGAAACTCAATCTAGACAAAATGTTGGTCTTTCTGGTGATTGGCTCATCTCCCTTGGACCCATTTCTGGATGGAGTTATGCTCTCATTAAAAGGTCAAGTTCTCAACCTAGGTGTATTAATAGTTCCAGCCATATACATCAGAGGTCAAAGTGGATTCCATAGCACAATGAACTGTACATCAGTTGCTACTGATGTAGCATCTGCAGTACCTCCTGGACCCAGCTAGTCTGGCCACTGTTGCCCATGTTCTGATACCATCCCATCAGGGTTACTGTGGTGTTGCCCCGTAGACTGTTTGGAAACCCCACATCATTCAAAACACTGCAGTGAGACTGATGATTGTAACCAAACATAGGGAACAACTCACAATTTTTCAAACAGCTGTACTTCTACAGATCCACTTCAGAACACTGGTGAGTGGCAGGTCTGCTTGCACCTCCCATAGAAGCAAGCGGCAATGCTACTTTTTCATAGTCGCACCCCAATGTTCCTTTGAATTCAGGACATATAAACACACACAGACCAGACCACTTCTGCCATTTACCCAAGCACCACTAATTGTTCATTAAGTCCCTGTCTTCCCATGCCTTAGTTAAATAATTCATTAATGTCCATTTGCCATTCACTCATACGGAATCATTTCTGCAGACCACAAGTAACCTTTTTGCAGCTTAGTTAAAATTATCATGTCAGATTCAGCTCATTAGTGGCAGGAATAGGGTGCAATGACTGCTGATGCATTAATTGCAAGCCAGATCACTGCTCTGGCATTGCTGGAATGCAAATGTCAGAGCAGGGATGAAGAACTTCAAATGGATGTGTCCAATTAGGCCTTCTAGCTCCTATTAATGGAGAGAGGGTGTAGGTAAGTGGTACAGCACATGCTTTGCGTGCCAAAAGTCTCGAGGTCCCATTGTGAGGGTCTCCAATTAAAATGACCTCAGGGAGCTGAGCAAGGAAAGACCACCTTCTCTGCCTGACACCTACAGCACCATTGTTCTCAGAGGTCCAAGGGTGGTTGAACTTGGTATAATAGTTTTGTATGCATCAACAGAAGTATAGTGTCATGATCAAGGGAAGTAGTAGTACTGCTCTATTCTGTACTGGTCAGACCACAACTGGAGTACTGTGTCCAGATATGGGCAACACAATTTAAGAAGAATACCGACAAGCTGAAACATGATGCAGATAATCAAGGGTCTGGAAACCAAGCATTATGAGGAGCGGTTGAAGGAGCTGGGTATGTTGAACCTAGAAAAGAGAAGACTGAGAAGAGATATGATGGCCATCTTCAAATATCTAAAGGGCTGTCACCTGGAAGATGGAGTAAGCTTGTTCTCCTGCTCTGGAGGGTAGGAAACAAACCAATGGCTTCATGTTACAAGAGAGGAGATTGTGACTAAACATCAGGAAGAACTTTCTGACAATAAGAGCTGTTCAGCAGTGGAACAGCAGAAGTTGGGTGGCCATCTGCCTTTGAGATTATTTAGTTGAGATTCCTGCATTGCAAGGGGTTGCACTAGATGACTCTTCCAACTCTACGATTCTATTAACATGGCTTTGCTCAGGTCCTACCTCCCTTTCTGTGTACCTTACCACCAAAGGACATTTTTTTCTTAAACAACATGCAAAGCATGGCAGTTAGAAAATTGCACAAATGAAGGAGCCAACTTACTAACCAACTGCATACCCCTAAGGGGTTCCCAACTTTGTTGGAGTTTTTTTTTATTTTTTAAAAAATGACCATTTTAAATGTTCTCCCTTTTAAAAATAAAATCAGGCAAATATCTTTTATTCACATCTCTTTGTAATTCTCTCTCTCTCTCATTCTCTTCTTTATTGATCTCTAGAAAGGAACATCTAGAACATCTGTCTTTTTTAAGGTTCAAGTACAAAAAGAAAATAATTTCAATGTTTATAAAATAAAATAGTCCCCAGAAAAGCCAATCTGCAGAAAATAAGACACAAAAAGACAGCAGGATTTGTGACACAATTGAAGCAAAATGAAAAGCAAATTACAAAAGAAGCATTTTTAATAGGCATACTTAATTTTTCCCCCTCTGGATGAATAGACTGAAAAGGAGGACAATTGAAGTTTGTCATATAAGAAAAGTATTAGTGTTAAGAATCTTAAGAACATTTAATAACATGGTAACTAGCTTCAGTGGCGTTAAAAACAAATAATAGACTTCTGCAGAGTTATTATGGTCATGCATGCAAACAAACAACAAAATATTAAAGATAGACTCAGATGGAGTTTGATCCTCTGCTATAGACAGAGCAGTAATTTTGAGAAACATTTTTTAATTTAATTGCCATCCTCAAAATATGCTTTTTAAACTATCCATTAAACTGAAATCTGTGCTCCAATGCAAACTCTCCGTCTGTAATTCCTCTAGGTTGATAAATCCTTTAATTGAGTACTAGTATGTGCGCCAGCAATTGACCTCTTCATCTAAAAGCAACTTATAAGAGACGCTTTGGAAACGCTAGCATCAATTTGAGTACAAAATTATCCTATTTACAGAGAAATGTGCTCATCTAGTAAACAGCAATAACAAGAACAAAACAAAAGGAGCATAGTGGGGAAATGGAGAAGCAAAAGCACTTTTGGTGCTTCTCCTGCTGCCAAAGAAACAGCTCAAATGGAAATGTTAACTTGTCTCGCTAAGTGCAGCCTATGCAGTTCAAAGAAGCCCCCCCCCCCCGAAAAGTATAAAAGCTGCGTATATTCCAGAAGCTTGAAAATATGCTCCAGGAGATCACTTAGAGCAGGAGTAGGACACCTCAGGTCGAGGGGATGAATGCAGCCCTCCAAGTGTCTCTATCTGGCCCTCAGGACTCTCCACAGCCACAGACCCCTCAACAGCACTGCTTTGTGGTTTGGCCTGGCTCAGTTGTGTCTTTGAACTTAGATAGTGCTTCTTGCTTGTCTGGAGGGAGAACAGAGACACTGGAGAGGAAGAGGAGTGCAGGGGGAGCGCACCGCTCCCGGCAGCATGATCCCAGCAGGGTGCCATCGTGGCTGTCCCCCGCCCACACTGGGGGACAGATGAGACCAAAATCGAGCTCTTTGGCATCAACTCAAGTCACTGTGTTTGGAAGAGGAGGAATGCTGCCTACGACCCCAAGAACACCATCACCACCGTCAAACATGGAGGCGGACATATTATGCTTTGGGGGTGCTTTTCTGCTAAGGGGACAGGACACCTTCACCACACTGAAGGACGATGATGGGACCCTGTATCGTCAATGCTTGGGTGAGCACCTCCTTCCCTCAGGCAGGGCACTGAAAATGGGTATTCCAGCATGACAATGACCTGTCGGCCAAGGCAACAAAGGAGTGGCTCAAGAAGAAGCACAGTGAGGTCCTGGAGTGGCCTAGCCAGTCTCCAGACCTTAATCCCATCAAAAATCTGTGGAGGGAGCTGAAGGTTTAAAGTAGCTACACATCACCCTCAAAATCTTACTGATTTGGAGAGGAGCTGCAAAGAGGAGTGGGACAAAATACCTCCTGAGATGTGTGCAAACCTGGTGGCCACCTACAAGAAATGTCTGACCTCTGTAATTGCCAACAAGGGTTTTGCCACCAAGTACTAAGTCATATTTTGCAAAGGGATCAAACACTTACTTCACTCATTATAATGCACATCTATCTCTGACTTTTGTCTTCTGGGTTTCTTGGGGTTTTCCTGTTGTTATTATGTCTTTCACAGCTACAATAAACCTACCATTAATATTATAGACTGGTCATTTCTTCGTCAGAGGGCAAACAAGCAAATTTAGCAGGGGATCAAATACTTTTTTTCCTCACTGTATAGCCAAGAGAAGATGGTGAGCATCTGTGGAAGCTTCCTCCAACCAAAATGGTGCTCTACGTATATGAAAGTAACCTGCAGAAAGAGACTCTGTTCAGCGTAGAGCCTTACTTGAACTGAAGACTCCCTAAATGGGACAGGGCAATCCAAAGCGGGCAGTGGAGGAGGAACCCAGGGTGGGGGAACCACGAAACCCAAAGTCCTTGTCCTGGCAGGGTGGAAGTTTTTGGGAGGGGCATCCCCCCATTTAGTTTCGTTCCGGTTAAGGCCAATGATGTATGGCAGTGCCAGGGCTGGTGTACTTCTTCTCCCCCAATTCCAGAGGGGGACGGAATTCATTGACGCACCTTGGAG